TATTAATTATATAATATTTAGCAGCATAGAACTATAATTATAAATTATATAAATTATTAATTATGTATCTATAAATATCAATTACTAATTATTAAAAATATAATTTTAACTTGAAATTTTTGTTGTGTAATGTCACTTTTTATTTAGTATATTGAAAAAAATATGCTATTCTTCAAGTGCCTTTTAAAGAGAAAATATTGAAGTAATTTTGCATATGAATCTGTATGCAATCACCTTATTCAATGTAACATTATAAATATTACAAAAATACATATTTTTTATTAAGTTAATGAAACGTATTTGGATATAGGTAACCATATTTCTTTTACGTTTGCAAGCATATAATGCCTGGTATTAGCTTTAATGGTATTACAAACAGAAGTTATCTAATTAATACAAACTTAAAGAAAAATCTATATAACTTTGCAAATAATTTCATTTAACTGTTTAAATTTATATTAATATTTGTTCTACTGCTAAAGTTTCGAAATTATTTTTTCTGTAATTATTTTTTAAAATTATATTTTACTTACAATCACATTTGAGAAAATTATATTTTACTACTATTTTCATACAATAATACATTATAAATTGTACAACTTTGTATAAATATTTTGTATGTATAAATTGTTAATTAAATGTATAAATTCTTATTTACTCTTTTTGTAATAAATGGTGTAATAATAGTAATACTGTTTAAATGGAACGTGCAGGTGTCACATTAGATGGTGCTAGCGAAGGTTCTCTTTGGTTCATCACACCAAATTGGTCGAGACTAGAAACCACTGGTGTCTGGGCTGATGCAGCATCTCAAGTTTTCTATTCCCTTGGTATAGGTTGTGGATCTTTGATCACCCTTTCGAGCTATAGTAACTTCAATAACAATTGTCACAGGTAAGTACAAAAATTCTCTATCAAATGACACTATCGCAAATAATAAAGATGCCATTGTTTTGTTTAATTACACGTACAGAATTGTAGTTGGTTTAACGAGAAAATGCTGAAATGCTTCTAAAATGCCATATAAAAAAATATTATGCATTTTTTGATTTTTAAAAAGTCATTAAATTACATTTGGTTACATTTCATTTACAAGTATTAATAATTTATGATAAGGTATCACATAATGTCTTACAACACTCATTATTATAACAATTATGTATTTAAAAATTTTTATGATAATTATATAATTATATAATTATTCATTTAACATTTGGTTAATTTGTTATAACTATTCATTTGTTATTAAATACAAGTAGTTTGAGACGTATCAATTACGTTATACAAATAAGTGTTAAATTATTTCTAATATTTTATGTAGTTTGATAACTGTATCCTGGATGAAATAATTTTATTACATATAATTATAAAAACTAACAATATGAGTAATAAATTGGTGTACAAATTAAATAGGGTGAATTATACAAGTGAAATCATCACATTATTTCAAACACTTTACTGTAACATCCATATTTTATGTTCGTATATTTGCATATTTTAATAAACCGTATTTAAGAATGACTAAAAATGAATCATCGTGATCGACTCGTCTCCTTATTAAATCACTATTACGTTTTCCACAATTCAATAAAATTATATCGTTATACAATTAAAATCTTCTACATAATTAATTTATTTTATCAATTAAAATTCAGGAGAAAAGATAATGCATTCTTCGTCCATGCGAATTTTTGGAACGAATGATCTTAAATTCGTGTTCCGAATAAAGAAACGTTCAACCGATGGCACTCAATGCCTATGACTTAACCCGCGTCACAACGCTTAAACTGTATTCCAAACTTACCCAATGTATTTAACGGTGGCTCTGTATATACATATTCATATATTACATATATACATGTGTATTCGAGGTTCCAGCGCGTGGTCACGTCACTCGGTCATTCAAAGCGTCCGTTATGTATTTCATTTTGCGCGATAACGATCGTAAACCGAATCATCTCAACTATGGCGTCTCCGAAATGACGACACTCACCGGGTCGCAGCGTTCACGTGCTCGAAATATTGCAGAAAGTCGTAATTAGCATGATTATCCAACGCTGAAGTTCTATCCCGACGGCAGATACAATTCGTTGCACGTTGCATCGCGTATATAAATTATATCAGTGCGACGCAAGTCGAATGAGCAAGTACCACGGTAGCGGAGTATAACTTGCCTCGCCGGCTGGCCAACTTTTACCGGTGATTATTAATTGTTCTTCCTCCGTTCTGTCATCTAACTGCCGTGTCTCGCGATAAGAGCAAGACACGTTTTATACTTCCGAGATGCCTTACGTCTGTGTCGCTGCCGGAATCAGAATGTCGTTCTCCCCACCCGTGACGACTCGAACATAAAACACCACGCCATCCAGTAGCCACCTTCGTAACTGTGACGCGTTTGATGTGAACTTTTATCGCCGTCGGTCGTTCGCGAAATATTTATAGATGATTCCGACGCTGTGGGTAAACGGTTGGTAGATACAAATAGCAAGTGAACTCGCTCTTGTAATAACTGTTCGAAGATATGACGCATCAAGCAAAAGTCGATTTTAAGAGTACAATAGTAGAGATTTCAGTTCTGGTGCGGAAGAAAGTTTATCGACAGGTTGAATAATGAATCTTGTTATTGTGATTTTTCGACGAAGGAAGGGTTTCAATTTGGCAACTTAAACTCAAATTTCCTGCTTCTACGTTTAAATAGGTTAGTTTTGTAGGGTTATATCGTGTTTACGTTGTTTGCATCTTTTTAGCTCCCACTTTTAGAATTACTCTTAACAGTTTTATTGTGATTTTTATTATGTTTGAAGAGTAAGAATCGACTGCTGGATGATCGATGTTCAGTTAACCTTGATTCGTATGGAAAATTAAAAAGATAAGTTAAGTTGTTCAGTTACAATAAAAGGATATTATGAATTGTTTATTTAGGTTATGTTTGTACAGAAAGAGATTATTTATGATATCGAAGTCCATTATCCTTAGCAAACGTACGACCCTCGTCAAAGATATGTGCAATATGTATATATAACCTCAAAAAACAGAAGTCAATAGATTTTAGCAAGTTGGATAGTCGATGCTACAGCACGATTTCTTTGTTAATTCTGAACATCTTTAAAAAATATATCAGTCATAATTGAAGTATTATTGAAATATATTATATTTTACGGTATAATTGAAGTATGTATTATTCCATAGGTTTCAATATATTGAACCTATCCTTAGGTTCAATATACCGATAATTTTTATTAATTATTTAGGAAAGTATCAATTTAAGTTTGAATCGTTTATTTACGACTATTACTTGCAGAATTGAGATTATTATTTATCGACATTCTAAATCGATACTTAATTTTTTTCAAATACTAGATTTTAGTATAATTGAATTCTATAAATAGTTTAAGAGAACCATATAAATAATAATATATAATAATATATATAAATGAAAATTATTTTGTTTGAAATGAAGCATATAGTATTATAGTTAGTTCTTCTAGTTTTGCTTTTTTTTTAGCGAGATATGAAGTTTACCTGAGTCTTTTTAACTATAATATGCTAAGTAAGAAAAATATTAAAAAGTATAGAATCGAAAAACAAAAATTAAAATCAGCTAATGTTATATATTATGATTCAAGAATTCAATATGACCTTGACATTTCGATAGGAAATCGTAAAAAATTAACATTATATTCACCTGTTGGTGGCAATTTTTGTTTCAAACATTTTTTTTATAACAATTTATGTAGTAGCTATATTTTTATATATGACAGTATATTATAATTTTTTATATGACAATTTATAAGTAAATTCAATGGATAGAGTTAAATGACTTACCTTGTATATTGTCAGAATGTCAAAACATATTATATTTTGAAAGCCTAATGTAATAACGTTGGCAAAATGATTTATTATTGAAAATTTGTTTTAAAGATCAATAAGAAGTAATAAATCATCCTTCACAGTGGATTTATATTATACTGCTTAATTACTATTTGTTCAACTCTTCATAACATCTTTTGATAAGAAAAAAAATAAATAATATTTACAAAAATTAAGATGTAGGACTGGAAGGATATTTTAATAACAATAATATGAAAGATACTTCAACATCGAAATGAACAAATTGCTAAAATATTGAGAAATGGCGATAAATAAAAATGCAAATTACTAAAGTGTAATTAATAAAGTGAAATTTTAATGAATAAAATTAGTAAAAAAATAAAGGAACAAATCTTTCTGAGCAAACTATACGATTTTTAGAAATGGGATTAATTACATGTAAATTATTTATGTCAAAATTTGAAAAGAATTTAAAGCTTTATTTGTTAAGTTTCAAATCGTAAAGGAAGAAAGAAAATTCAGTTAAAATTGTTTTGAACACTTTTAATTACTAGTACAAATTTGTATACGAACTTAATACTGGATTATTATTTAAAACTTTTATTATGAACTCATTGTACAATTTTTCGATTATTTTTTCACGAGAAATTAACTTGTTCTCGTTTCAGTTCCGAATTTTCCCGCATCCTGTATAATACCGTCGCAGAACTTTATTAAAGATCTCAGATCTGCATTGCTCGGTATGTTATGCGCCGATTTTAATGGAACTTTACACAAGTTATTCACTGATTCAGTCTGAAAACTTTGTCGTATTTGGTTAATGCTCCTTTTCGACTTCTGAGCAGAAACCTCTGCTTCTATTGAAGTTATGCTTTTTATTTATGCGTATGTAATTCTTTAATTATGAGAAAATCGCAAAAGAGTTACAAAGATTTTATGTCTTCGAAGATTTCTAATCGATAGAAATTTTCGACAAATTTACTTTTTTGTCGTAAAAAGAAATCAAAATTTCAAGAATGAAAATTCTTAATAAAATTGTTCTTCTAACAATTTTTTTTTCTTCTGATTTGTAAATATTTGGAAGTAACTAGTATAATGTTTGATTTATCTGCTAATTATAAGTTAGATGTATATAAATAATTATATAAAAAGAGGTTAGCTTATTGTTAGACAGGAAACTTGTATTTTTCTCCTAAATCGGAAAATAGTGGCGAATAAATACACTCAAATTTTTCGATTAAAGTTTTATCGAAGTTTACAGTGAATAATTTATAATGCAAACTTTCGTTAATATAGATGATAGCAAATAGTGGTACAAGATCCAACATTTCATAATATTTATAAAGAAAAACTTTATTTTCGTCTGAAATGTTTCAATAAAATTGATTCAAAAAGTATAAACATATTTTTAACACAATGCATGTCGGTTAAATTAATTAAATTTGTCATTTAAAGCGCAAATGCTGCCAATTACATTGTCTATCTATCAATAAATGAAAATACATTATAAACTTTTCATATTTTTGAACAATATATTCACACAAAGGTATACTTTTCCCATAATGTGAAAGTTAATTTCAAATGAAATAGGAAAATCTTACAGATATGTATACAGAGTGTTTATTGTTATGTTCCCTACGATTGTCCAAGAATTACTTAATAAGAAAATATTTTGCTCCTTCCAAAAATTAGGAAGAATCAAATGAAACAGAATATGAAATCCAACTCGACATACAATGGGTACGAAAACTATTGACACACTGTATTACAAGAAAATTCACTTAACCAGAAGATTCTAATTTTAATTTTTTAATTTGGATGAAAATCTATTAGCATATACAATATATCATAACTGATTATACATGCAACAATTTTTTTCGCATAATATTACTCTAAGCAGCCTTTTCCCTTTTCTCTAAATATAAATTTGTAATAGTACAAAATACGACAAAACTTAAAAAAAGGAAGTTTAATTTTGAGTATTCCATCGCTCTGTTGTGAACAAAATTTCGAAGAAAGGTTATCATGCCGGCATAAAAGAAGATTGAAATTTTTAGGGTCCATTTAACTCCCTTAAAATCTTTGCTTACAATATCGTGTGAGACACGTGGTAAGGAAATCGGGCCAAACGTGACGTAACGTAACGTAACGAGAGGCGTGGCTTGTAGGTAGGGCCCAACGCAAACATCACGGGTCAGGCTCGCGTTTTATTTTCGTCTATGTCTTTCTATCTCAGTTACGTGTTATACTTTCCCGTGTTTGTACAAAGTGTCTCGACGTATAACCATCTTTGTTGGTGACTATGACACGCATCATCGGAATTTAACACGTTAAGTGGCACGCCTGTCCCTAGGGATCGGCGCTAGATTTTACGTTCGGGCCCAGACTAGGACCAAAAGGTGCTAACTTTTGGTGCTAAACTCTTCGCCATCTTTGGACCTAAAGTTTGGCAACTCCTGTTATAACAATTGGTACAGTATCTCCGAGTTTTATGAACACTTCGACGGTCCAGTTTGACGCTCGAGTTTGGGCCTGAACGGAACGGCAAGCAAAACGGGCTGGGCACTTAACGTGTTCAACGGTAGGACAAGGGGTTGAAAAGATTTCTCGTCTACAAAACCAATTATGCTGTACATAATACCGTTTTTATTCACTATAGGGTCGTAAAGTGTTAACTCTTTGCACTCGGCGATCTTTTCGTTACCGAAACATAGTAATTCGAAGGCTTCCTGCCATAAAGTAACTAAGAAATGCAAATTAATTGTAAGATATAGAATTATTTTACCTCGATATTCCACGCGTCGTTGGACAATTTTAACACGTTGACTGCCATGGGGGTCACCGGTGACCGGCGACGCGACCATTAGTAAAAATACATAATCAGAGTAAATATCGATACTGATAAATTTTTAAATAGTACCTTTGTTACTATAACGGTTCGAAGAAATTAATGCCACACAGAACATGGGAAAATAATTTTATTTATACAAAGAAAAGGTGAAACAAAACAGTCGACACAATATGTCGCCACTTTTTTAGTGCAAATCTTTGCTCTCATTCCTCCTAGCTGATTTGAATTATTTTCATAGCACACTTTGCAAAATCGCCTTACATTTCGCACACTTCCAGGTTTCTTTTTAAATTCGTGACGACGTTTTTTCTGTACGTAATTGCTCGATGAAATGCAATCTTCGTCATCGGAACATTTCACTAAATACATCGCTAACTTCATCCTAAAATCGGGAATTGAAATATTTTTTCGAGTTGCTTTT